ACATACATATATACATATATATATATATGTATATAGATATACATATATATATATATGTATATATGTATGTGTGTGTATATATTCTAGTATTTATATTGCTTAAACATATAATCCCATCAAATGATTGGATTGGCCTAAGATTAATCTATGGTAGCCAAGGCCCCCATTAACCCCCTCCCACACACGCGTTATAAAAATAACATTTAAAACCTCACTCTGTTCTTCTCCTCAGTAACTCCTCCCCATTTGAGTAACTTCAAACAAAAACATTCAGGTTTACTTCATTCTCTGTTCAGTTCCAGTCCAGAAAAACACTTATCTCCAACACTACAAACATTCTCTGTTCACATCCCTCAGCAGCAGGGACGTCGGTGTTCCTCTTGTGTGTGCAGCTTTGGCTGTTTTTATTTCCCGGTATTTATTTCTGTCGTGTAGAATCGTTGCTAACAGCTTGAGGCTGCCGCAGCTCGTAGCTTCAAGAACCCAAGTGTTTGCTGTGTAGGGAAGTGACCTGACTGCATTCACAGCCCAAGTCCTCTCTGTCCCTTACAAAGCTGCTCAATTAAATCAAAGATGACCTTTGACCCTTGGCTAAGATGAGCGTTGTGTTTTTCAAAATAAAGCTCTGATCATCATCTCTGTTGACCTGCAGGTTCTTGTGTGTGTGTTCCTCTTGTGTGAATGTGTGTCTCAGGTCCGTAACGTGGGAAACGGGTTGTGTATGGAGAGCAAACACTTTGCGTCGGGGAGTCCCATCCGGCTGGAGAACTGCATCAAGAACGGGCTGGACGTCAGCTGGGGCCATGGACAGGTAACCAGCGCCCGCTAGAAACTCTTCAGCTTTTATTTAGTCATTTTCCCTCAGGAAAGTTTGCACATCTTCTGCTCTTGTTGTGATTCTCTGATCAAACCCCTGACAAAGATCTGAAGAGTCAACCTGCAGACTCTGGCTCAGTTTTTGAGTCTGAAGGTTTTCTCATGCGACGTCGCTGCAGTTATTGTCTCTTACGTAACCGTCGTCCTTCAAACACACAACGGGCACGCTCCGAGCGTTCGTTACCTTTGGATTTCTCTGAAGACTGTTTGGACTCGGCGCGTCACTCCGGGGATCTTTAGGCCGAGCTCATAACACGTTAATGGATTGAACGTTCCTCTTTTGTCTCTTTGTCTCAGAGCTTCGACACTTTAATTGCTTTTGTCCTGAGATGCTTCAGAGTTTAATTTGTGTCACAGTCGCGAGCCGTTTCCAGCACCGGAGAGAAATCATCGCAGGCTCTTTGGTAGCTCTCCTCATCAGAACGTTTTGATTCTGGATGAGGTGAATCGAGGTGCTCAGCCTGGCCTGGTGCACCAACAACACAAGAGCAACGATGTATGAAAGTCTGATCAGACTGTCGCCCTGTGAGTGTGTTTTTAGTGGGTTGATGGATTCATCTGAAGTTTGTGCTCCCCGCAGATCTTCACGTTCGGCTGGAGGGAGGACATCCGGGTCGGAGACCCCATGCACGCCAAAAAAGTTTGTTTTGACGCCGTTTCCCACAGCAGCCCCGTCACGCTGTACGACTGCCACGGCATGAAGGGCAACCAGCTGTGGCGCTACAGGAAGGTACACTTTGTCCTTTTTCTGTCCGTCTTTACGTTTTTCATCAAAACATTAAAATTAAAAAGTAAACCCGTGAAACTATCGAGGCTTACAGCTCCACCCTCATACACTCTAAGGTTCTACATTACAGGACAGAATCAAACCAACCTGGTCCGTATCGAACTCAAATGATTCAAATCCAACGTCAGTCAAACCAAAACGTCCAACAGATCCAGTTTGGTCATTCGTGCCATTTTCAAACAGTCCATCGTTCTACAGAGAAGATCTACATGTGGCAAACAATGAGGACAACAGGAGGTGATATCCATGCAAATTCACCCTGAAGGTCAGACCAGTCAAGTCCAAGAATCTTTATTATCCCCAGGGGGCAATTAGTTTCACAGTCAGACACACAAATGTCCACATTAAAACATTCAAATAACAGAAATCATCTCTGTTCGTTGAGAAATCTGATCTCTACAGGGATGAATGAGTTGTTCAGTCTGTTCGTTCTACATCTGAGCAGCAGATACCTGCGTCCAGATGGAAGGCACCTGAACTCACCATGGAGTGGTGATCGGGATCTGCCAGAATCAGCCTGGCTTTGTTCACTGACCTCGCTTTGTGTAAGTCACTGAGGTTCTGTAGGTCAGAGTCAGAGTCAGAGTTTCTTTATTGTCATTCGCACCTCATGTGGTACATGTGGTGGAGCGAAATTATGTACACGGGGTCCCAGTTACATCCAACAATAAAATGTAAAAGAAAAACAGTAATAACATCTAAGATATGAACTAAGAAAAACATCAACTAAATATACACTAAGCACTCATAACATAAAACATTGAACATCAGCACAAACATGAACATGAGTCTGTGAGCAGATGTGCACGCAGGAACACATCAACATGAAACAGATCAGCAGCAACATGAAACAGATCAGCAGCAACATGATGTGGTTTTTCACAGTGATTATTCTGGTTAGAGATTCATGAGTCTAACAGCCTCAGGGTAGAAGCTGTTCCTCAGTCTAGTGGTTCTACACTTAATGCTCCTCAACCTCCTTCCTGAGGGGAGTGGGGCAAAAAGTGTGTGTGCTGGGTGAGTGTGGTCCTTCATGATGCAGGTGGCCCTCTTCCTGCATCTGGAGGTGTAGATGTCTGTGATGGTGGGGAGGCTGATTCCAACATCTTCTGTGCAGCCTTCACCACTCTCTGCAAAGCTTTTCTTTCTGCAGCTGTGCAGCCTGCATGCCACACGTTGATGCTGGAGCACAGGATGCTCTCCACTGCACACCTGTAGAAGGAGGTGAGGACTGAGCTTCCCAGACCAGCTCGCCTCAGCCGCCTGAGGAAGTAGAGTCTCTGATGAGTTTTCTTGATCAGGCTGGTGGTGTTGTTGCTCCAGCTGAGGTTGTCATTCATGTGTACACCCAAGTACTTGTAGCTGGAGACCACTTCCACCGCAGATCCTCTTATGTTCAGGGGGGTGGGTGTAGGTGTTTTTGTTCCTTCTGAAGTCCACAATCATCTCCTTCGTCTTCATCACATTGATGTGAAGGTTATTCTCTCTGCACCAGCTCTCCAGGTGTTCCACCTCTTGTCTGTAGCTGGACTCATCATTGTTTGTGATGCATCCCACCACCACTGTATCATCTGCAAACTTTACAATGTGACAGCCTGGATGGGTAGCTGCACAATCATACGTGAGCAGAGTAAACAGGAGGGGGCTCAACACACATTCCTGAGGAGAGCCAGTGCTGAGGGTTATGGTGGAGGAGGAGAGGTTGTGGATCCTCACTGACTGTGGTCTGTTTGTTAAAAAGTCTAGTACCCAGTTGCAGATGGAGGGGCTTAGTCCTAGTGTGGATAGTTTGTCCATCAGGGTTTGGGGGAGCATGGTGTTGAAGACAGATGTGAAGTCCACAAAGAGCATATGGACGTAAGAGTTTTTCTGCTCCAGGTGGTTGAGTGCAGTGTGGACCACAGGTCACTGAGGTTCTGTAGGTCGGGGAGGTTCTGTAGGTCAGAAATGTTCTGTAGGTCAGTGAGGTTTCGTAGGTCAGAGAGGTTCTGTAGGTCAGAGAGGTTCTGTAGGTCAGGGAGGTTCTGTAGGTCAGAAATGTTCTGTAGGTCAGTGAGGTTCTGTAGGTCAGGGAGGTTCTGTAGGTCAGGGAGGTTCTGTAGGTCAGAAAGGTTCTGTAGGTCAGGGAGGTTCTGTAGGTCAGGGAGGTTCTGTAGGTCAGGGAGGTTCTGTAGGTCAGGGAGGTTCTGTAGGTCAGAGAGGTTCTGTA